GATTGAAAATCAAGCAAAAAACTGTACAGATTGAAGTGGATTTCTAGATGTACTTTGATTTCAGGTTGAGGTGAACTTTTTTCAAAGTGAGAAAACTAGTATCCAGGTCAGCACGGTCCCAAAGCTGACTGTGTCCCTTTAAAGGTAGCATTCAATAGAAAACTAGGTTTGCTTGAAGAACATGTAATCTGGAGATAACCTGGAGAGATCGGTGCAGTCATCTAGTAGATAAAGTCATCTAATCATCATAAATGACAAATAAATCAAATTTAAATGTAGTTTTGAACGATTTATATTGAAAATCTTTACAGTATGCTGATAAATTTTATTATGCTAATTACTTATGCTAATCAGTTATGCAAATTAATGTCCAGTCAAATTGATAATATGTCCGACTAAAATGAAGATTTGAAAGGACACGTGTCCTGTTAAAGAAGAAAAATTATTTCCAGCAATGTAATCGTAACTTACCTTGTAAATGAAAGATACTGCTATAATTATGTACTGTAAGTACCACACCAGGAGTTGGGATACAAAGTTTTATACTGGGAGGCTCCACCCCAAGGTTAAACCCCTTAGTACCCTTTTGTATACTATTTTGACAGAAAAGGTACCTCTTTTAGTCATAGCCTCCAAACAAACACCAAACAAGAGTAGAATTACATTAACTATTATGAATGTCCCATCCCAACCACTTGATATAAATTTTCATTAATTAAAACCCTAAAAGTCAATTATAATCTTACCCTTATGACTATTTTTAATCTGGGCCTGCTAACAACATGCATAAGGCATATGGGTAATTAACTTGTCATTTTTAGTACAGGGTGCACTATTGGGATGGTATAGGGGCTGCTGTTTGCTAAGGCAATAACTCAATAAGGTGTAAACTTTAATGTTTGTTTAATTAATTAATTTCAATTAATCAATTAGCCTTGCAGGAAGGGGGGCTGGGTGAGGTAGGTATCTGAGTGCACTACGCAAAACATGTTATACCTACGTTGCTTAATTTGAATCATGACAAAACTATATATATGTTACTGCAAATCTCATGCTATCCTTGTGGCGCTATATTTTTATCTTAAGAACAAAAGCAATTTGCTTGAAACGCATGCACAGATTAGTTAGCATCAGTGTCAACTATATGTTAGGCGAAAGATACATTTCATACGGAATCACACACAAACATAGAGTACTTTTCCTTGTGGTATAACACAACTTGTAAGACACGTGTTCTAGCATTTGATTAGTAGTGTGATAAACTCGATTCTCGAGTTCAGATCTGCGTGTTTTTTTTTTTCTGATTTTGACCGTGATAGCAGCTATATTTCAGGTAATGTCAGTTATCCCTTTTTTAGTACAAAGAATGCTACTGTGACCACGTATCTTCTGGAATCACCCCTAGCCCAATTCAAGAAATGTCATCTGCTCTTTTATAACTATTGTGTGTTTGCCAGGGTTCAAATAAAGAATGGAAACATATTGCTTCGCCTTAGCAGCTTGTTTGTTTCCTCTTCTATGAGGGAAGCAAAAAGTTCCTTTCCCACGTTAGTTACATGTAAAACTATTAAATTTGTGACAGAAGAAACTTTGCAATTATTGCCACAGACTCCGTGGCACTTACTGAAAGCGCCAATTAATTTCATCAGTCTTTGAGGTGACTTGCTCACTGATGTAGGATATAATTTTGGTCAAGTAACCATCTCTACCTTCAATACTTCTCTGACATTGAAACACTCCTCTGTTGTATTAATCGAGAGCATTGTGTATTAGTTTGATGCGAATAAAAATACACTATTCCGTGACTCAACCTGACTATGATTAGATTAGTTCTTGTTTATCAGTGAAATGAAAATTTGCATTTTGAATAAAACGACATCGTTCCTCTTTGAATTTTTATCAGATATTTAACTTTATTTCATTTATCTCCAGCGATGAGTGAAAAAATACACATCTATTCTTATATTTTTGAGGTAACAAGGGTATCATGTGGCATAACTTGGCATTTCACTATTTTTATTCGCATTTTAGTACATTTTGTACAACTTAAGGGTTTTTACAGTGCATTCTTTTGAACACTGGAGATTCTAGCACTATACAAATGCATTTTATTTTTTAATAAAACCACATTACACTGACACTCAGATTCTGAACATCACAAAGCACTTATATCCAGGAAATTATTCATTACATGATCAAAAGTCCACAATTCTATCACCAAGCTCGGTCTTAATAATCCTTTTGCCAAATTGTTTTGCATTCTCAAGCTCTTTAGGAACAACTTGATCCATAACCACTAACATTTCTTTGAGTTCTTCAGCAATCTTGCAGTCTAAAGTAAGAAATGATGTTGCAACTCCAAAATGCCCCATGCGGCCAGTTCGACCACAGCGGTGAACATAACCTTCAATGCTGTCTGGTAAATCATAGTTTATGACATGTGTTACTTCTGGGAAGTCCAAGCCTCTTGAACCAACATCTGTTGCCACCAACACGTCTACCTTCCCTTCACGAAACGCGCTCACCAGCTTAAAGCGATAATCCTGTGATTTTTCAGAATGAAGCCCTGATGTATGAAACTGTTCTTTCTTGAGCAATTCTGTGACATAATCCACATTTTGAATAGACGATGTAAAAACAATGACAGGAGGACAAGGAGTGCTTCGGAGGACTTGAAGGAGTTTTGCTGGTTTTTCATAATGATACAAAAACATGACGCTTTGTTGTATAGTCGGAGATATCAGACCAACTGGTCCCACCTGGATAGTAATGGGATTCAACACTGCAGATCTTGCCAGTCGCTCTAAAGATTCTGGCATGGTAGCTGTCCATAGCAGTGTCTGTCTGGCCCTGATGGTACCAGTTGCAAGCCCTACAACCTTCCTTAACTGTTCCTCCATCCCCATTCCAAGCATCTTGTCTGCCTCATCCATTACTAAATATGAAACCTTATCCAGGCTAAGCAGACCACGGTCACACAGGTCCAGCAACCTTCCAGGTGTTGCTATGACAACATCAACACCGGTCTTCAGCTCCTGTACTTGACTTGAAATGGGCACACCACCGCAAATTCCTACTGACTGGTATTTTGTGCTAATTGGGGCTATTCCTTGAGATGAGTAAGCTGAAGACACCAAATCATTTGCTAAAGGATGGAAGCTAGGCATTGTTGACATTCCCGTATTCAAAAACTTGTAAGGTAAGTAAGTGGCCATGTGATTAGTATCTTCCATGTTTGAGTACTTCAACTGATCTGTGCTGATACCCTGAGCATTACTACAGAAAACATCAGAAGTCTTTTCCAACGCTCTTGTCATGATGCAGTTAAGCAATCCAGACACATGATCTGACACTTGTCGCATAAGTTCTCTTGTAGGAGTCAAAATAAGAGCCACAGGTCCTTCACCAGGTAAGCATGGCTTCCTTGTTTTCAGAAACATACACAGAGGTAGGGAATATGCCAAAGTTTTCCCAGACCCAGTCTCTGCTAAGCCAATGATGTCTCTACCGCTCATCACACAGCTAAGTGCTTGCATTTGAATTGCAGTGGGACTAATGTAACCATTGTTAACCAAGTATTGTTGCAGTTCAGGAGGCAAAGTCAAATCCTTAAAACTTGTTATGGGTTTGGGGCAGCCTTCTCCTTGAATTTCGATGCCATTTTGCCATCTTATTTCATCAATTTGTTCTTCTGAAAGTTGTGTGATATTTTCAAGCTCATGGTAGTAGGATTTCATAAAGTTGTCTTCCTCCCCTGTTGCTTTTCGTTTCGTACTTTTTCTAAGAGGAATAAAGCTGCTTTTCTCTTTGCATGTGGCCGCTTTCCCTTCCATTTCGAAAACAAAACAGAAAAATTGGACCCAGGCCCTTCACTGCCTTGAAAGAAAAACACACTCGCGCACGAATTTGTCCGTAATAGGACTGTGCTTTTGAATTGAAGGCTCAAGATTGCGGTGTTTTCGTTGGAAATCTGTCGGAAACCGCTCGAGCGGCAGCAGAAATGAAGAAATCTCTTCAAGAAAAGTGGAAGACAATTTGAAAAAATTCTTCTGAGGCGTGCAAATGGTGCAAGCGTACTACATTGGAGGCGTTATTCTCCTGTTCGCTGTGTTGTGGCAAGTGGGGTTTCTCCAAGCGCTCTCCTCGACAATATGGGATTGTTTTGTGGCACTGTTGGGAATTTTCTCGGGCATTATGCTGTACCTTCTCTCTGGGAAACAGCGAAATCCTTCAACACCGAGGCCATCGAAGAGAGTTGACACTGTGACAAGTTTTCTTGCCAAGTTAACTCGAAGCCAGACTCACAAACCGTACAAGCATAAAACTGTAATCTCACGGCCGGTCGACAAGACCATCCAAGGGGTGTTTGATTACTTTATCCGCGATTTTTGCCTTTCGTGGTTTCGTGACATGGGAAAAGACGAAACTGCTTTCGTTGATTTGTTGACTGAAGAACTCTGGGTTGTAACGGCCAATGTCGTGGAGAGACTAAAATGTATCGATACTGTAAAGTTCGTTTCCAACGATGTGGTTGAAATTCTCAGCAGACACTTTCAAAAGTTGCGACTTGCAGACACACGAATCTCCTCGGACAATGCCCTTCCTTTTGTCCTTCATCCTTGCCTCACAAGCAGAACTGAAGAACTGGAATATCTACGGAAAGCTTCTGAGGTTTTACTCTACTGTCTTCTTCCACCAAAGAATTCTCGTTGTTCCACTATGCGGTATCTTCTTCGAGAGATTTTAGCTTTCTCTGTGTTTCAGCCTCTGGCTGACATGCTCTGTGATCCAGATTATATCAACAAAACGCTTCTCGTGCACTTGGAGGCAAAAGAAGCTCTCACAGCTCAGCACAAACAAGGTTATGCTTATGCGGAAACATACGAAGACTTCATCAAATTGATCAGCACTTCAAACTCAGTAGAAGCTTTGAAGCAAATCAGGTAACGATGTACTGTGCAAATAAAATGTGTAGGGTATATTATATATAGGGGAAATGTGACTTTGATTTAGGCCCATTTGGTTTGGGCATGTTCCTTGTTTTGCAGCCAATCAAAGACGAATAATACATTAAACATTTAGATTTTGAGCTCAAGATTTCTTTGGTAAAAGTAAGTTAAGTGTGCATACATGTATAAACCAATGGGCCCAGCAGGCTATTGAGCTTATCCTGGTTTCTGTAGCATGAAGCAATTGAGAGTATCTCTACTCCCCCCTAGATGGGATGCTAGTCCAGCACTAAATTTGCCAGTACCCATTTATACACCTGGGTGGAGAAAGGCACTGTGCGAGTGTGTTGCCCAAGAACACAACACAATGTCCCTGGCCAGGGCTCAAACTCAGACCACTCGATCTAGAGTCAAGCACACTTAACCATAAGCACTGCACCTAGTTAATAATAGATAGTAATAATAATAATAATTACATGTTTATACAGCACTAATACTGTGAAATATTCGAAAGTGCTTTACATAAAAAGAAGCTACAGGTAACAAACTAAAACAAAGATCTGTAAAAAGCATAAAATGTGCTAAAAGTACAAAAATATAAATGTCTTATAATTATGTAACTAAGATTTACTAGTATATAAGCTATAACACCAAACTAACTAACACCAGATGCGAGATGCTTAGTCAGAATTTGTGAGATTTACACAATGCCACCATCTCTATGTTTTACTGTAGGTATCACATCATTGCAGAAATCATGCAGGCAACTACGATTAATAACTTAAAAGGAATTGACCAGTTTGGGCAAGATGACAAGCAAGGAAAAGCACTGAGAAAGGATGCGCGGCTAAGAGCTCGTAATCTGAAGCGTTACATCAATCAGTGTACTGTGGCTAAATCACAGTGTGAGCGACGTATAAAGATCCTAGGGGGTCCTGACTACACTAATCATGGTGGTACAGAAGTGAAACAGTCCGGGCAGGAGAAAGTGAAGCTGCCTCAAAAACTTTCAAAACCCCAAGCCAAAGTGTTGAGTTTCACTGACGTCATGGAAAACAGCTTGGCAAGGAGTTTTTTCATGATGTTCCTTCAGAATAAAACTGGAAGCAAAAATATGCTCAGGTTAGTTTAGATATGTTTACATGTTTACATGCCTGCTCGGTAGCCAATCACAGTGCAGGATTTGGCTTATTTTGCCCGCTCATAGAGCTACCATATAATAAGAGGAGTTAGGGGTGTACTAATACATAACACAATAAAAATCATCACCTTGAGTCACTTGACATAAAAGCTAATCCAAGTACATATACTGTACTCTGAGTAGCACTACTGAAAATACAGTATATGCACATAATTTACCAATTAAATATTTTTTAATTGTAACTCAACATCTAACTTTTACTTTTTTGTAATTCACCGTTTTAGTGTTTCAGTTTTTCAAAAGCAGAATGACATGGCACATGTACATGTAATTTCATGTAGTGGTTGTTTCTTTTTTTTTGCATTGTTGCAATAGCTTTATTGTTTTCAGTATCCAAATTCTCCTCTTTCACTTTAGTTTCTGGATGGCAGTAGAGAACCTCAAGTTAGTAAAACACAATGAACTACACAAGAGTGCACAGGAAATATACCAGGTATATGTTGTGCCGTCTTCAGACAAATCTGTGATGCTGGACACAACACTGATCAGGGGAATGGAGCAGTATCTGCAGGGAACTCATGGTCTCCAAGCATTCTTTGAGGCACAAAAAAGGGCTTATAAAAATCTGGAGGAGAAGTTTTATCGCAAGTTTGTGCTGAGTGAAGAATACTTAATGTTTGTGTGCCAGTCAGAAGCAGAATTGGATGACTTGCGTGCTCAAAGGAGGGATGAAGATGATCTGGATGTGGACACCACTGACGATGACAGAGATGATGATGATGATGATGATGATGATGATGATGAGGTATCATAATTTACTGTTCATTGATGTCTAAGACAATATTTGGTATAAGATTTATTTGAAAAAATTGTTTTTTCTCAGTTAGCGAGCTATATTTAATAATACTACCAGATGGGGGTGAGTATGTGCTAGAATTTTGAATTGAAGTTGCCATAAGTACTTTTAATACGGTAACCATTTCTTATTATTTCTGGAATGAGAATATGTAGTAAGAATTTGAAATTGTTCTCCTTGAAGTAGATGATGGGTAACTAACCCATACAATTTATTTGTTACTTGGTTTTAAAGTCGTAAGTTATGCAGGTGTAGCAAGAGACCATCTGGTAGGATGGCACTTTAGTTTCTTGTTTTAAAGGCTTTCAGCCGATAGTACTTGTAAACTTGACAAATACATGTTCATTCAAATAATACTACAGTACACATCTTTCACAAGTGTAATTACCTTAAGTTGGCATTTGAATGTTTAATCTTCTGGATTTTCAGGTTGAAGACAGTGATTTAAGTGATGGAACTCCAAAGCTTGGTTCGTGAACTTTTTGCTATCTTAAATGATCTTTCATCATCAATCTCAGTATTTCTTTTTTTTTACAAAAAAGTCAAGACATGCCTACCAAATACAGAAAATAGAAAATGCAACTTACTGTAAATATATAGGCTTAATATTGTAGCCTGGATTGATTATCTAGGCAGTGAGAATGGATTGATAGAGTCGAATCAGCACTTGCCCATTGCATTTTCACTTTGTGTTACTATAAATTGTACATGGATGTATTAAAGATTATTAATAATATATAAGAAATAATCATATGCATTTGTGGATAGTGGAAGGAACTGAAGTTAACTGACTCAATAAACATCTTACATGTAGCTCGCAAGCCAAGCACTGTGGAAGAGCGAAGTGACGCAATTGTGAACAAGTTGGAAGTCCTAGATCAAAGACTTGCTTTAAAGGTATGCCATCGCAAAGTTTTTAAACATGCTAGGTGCTTTGTTGGAAAAATTGACTAACAAACTTTGCTTCCTCCGTTTTGAGGCTTCACATGGTTTTGTAGCATATTAGCTTACTTAAGTCACTACAGATTCCTTGAACTCTTACTTACTGATATCATGCATACAATAATTTGCAACTCCTGAAGATTATTGAGAATTCAGTTTTACTTGACAATGTAAAAACAGTTGCTCCTCTTTGCATCAGAATGTGCAATCATGATTATTCTTTATATGCATTTGTTTTTATGTTATAATTAAAAAAGTTTGTTAGTACCGAAAAATAAGAAATTATCACTGCAGAGACTTCAAGGTAAATTTGTAGAAAGTGTTTGATATGGCACATAAATACATTGTGCTCACCAATAAATACACTAATATTTAAAAGAAAGTTAGTCAGAGTAATTTTAAAGCTGTACCATATTAGTATATTACTGTACTTAGGAAATAGAAAACATATATCATGTTTCTATCGAGTTATAGAAACACGATTTTTAATCAATCATCGTGCATATTTTCGTAGTACTGTTTTGTAAATGTATATAGATCTATGTAGTTATTCTTTCATTTTTAGACACAGCAACTTGAACTTGAAAAGAGAAGTTATGGAGCTGACGTAAAGGTACATATAACAATAAAGAGAAAAACCTGCATTTGTTGTGTTTTCAACTATTTCTGTAATAATTTTTGTAATCAGTTTCATATATCCATATTCAAATTTTAAATTGCATTGAATCATATTAATTATTTTTGCATTATTTTAATATTTCTTACGTCACATTTCCAGATTCCATATTACACTGCCTAGTAAGTTTACTGACAGTTTTTAATCATAATTGTTCCATTAATCATATCATACCAAAATTAAAGTTAGTCAATCAGAAGCCATTTCTAGTGTTCTGATATCCTGTGATATCAAGTCACTGACCTGATATGGCTATGATGTCATATGATATGGCTATGTTGTCACAAGTAAAGTAATTTTTCCTTGGTTCAAGTTGAAATGAGGTTTAAGAAAGAGAATATCAAGCTCGCAATAATATTAGGGTTTGTATGGGTCCTGGAAAACCTAGAAAGTCCTGGAAATTTATTTTGGCATTTTCCAGGACTGGAAAGTTGTGGAAAAAGGCTACTGGTCCTGGAAAGGTCTGGAATTCTGTTAAAATCAAGTAAAAAAAATAATAAAATGTATGGCAGACAGTAAGGAGAATTAACAATGAGATCTTGAGGTTGAAAGGGTTAATGTGAATTTTAGGGTCCGGGAAAAATCAATCTGAGTCCTGGAAAAGTCCTGGATATTTGTTTCTGAAAAAGGGTACAAGCCCTTTAATATTCTGACTATTGACCATTTGTTTTCAGGCTTAAACAATGTCAGAACTTTCCGGCCAAAACTTAAGGTGGCTCAAAACAGTTTTCGGTTTTTTTGAGACTCATCGAACTAGGTGTGATTTTTCAGGCTTGGAACTGTAGTACTGTTTTGAATGGCTGTGCAATTTTTTTAAGGTAACTCTCCACTCTTAGTGCCTTCCATTGTGTTTAAGTCACAAATTTAGGTTGCACTGTTCTGTCTCAGAGCATCAAACTTGACCCACTTTTTTACCATCAATTGCATCGATTCTGTCTTAAAAACTAAGCTGGTGACCCCATGTTTTTTTTTCTGAAAATCTTTTTATTAGCCACAGAAGAAGAAACAGGAAAAATTAGAAAAAAGTCTGTGGAGTAGATTTTGCTTAAATTGAAAAATTTCCAAGTTGGAGGAATTCCACTCCACAATTTTTTTTACAATTTGACACATGCATTCCACTTTTGCTTTTGAATAGCTTTTGAGATATTAGCTTTGTGAATACGGAATTTTTTGCGTGCATTCTATGTGCAAATTAAAATCTCGACTTTGCAAGATGGCCCCTTGTGCATGGTGCAGTCTGCTGATCAGCAAAGCCTGCGATTCCATGTGAAAAATGCAAATAAACACAAATAGTGTTTTCTTTTTGCTGTTGTCATTAGCAGCATAAGCGGTAGAAGAAGAGTACCATAAATACCTGAAGGTGAGACTGGCCAAGTAGAAAGAACGAAGAAAACCTGAAGAGTAGTTTTTTTCCTGCTGTTTTTTAGACTGATAGCTGGCGCGATCGATCATAACATCAACATCACAATTTTCGTTTACGTTCCAGCACAGCGGTTTAAAAGAATGGTTTTCCTTTGAAATTGCCTGAAGGATGGATGTTTTCATAGGTAAAAATAACTGATAACACAAACAGCTTAACTAAACTTGGCGGAAACAAAGTTTTACAAAGTAGGCTTCGTGCTGCCATGTTTGTTTTGAGTGATTGCGTGATGCCTCGCACTGAAGTGCATACTAGAGCCCAGGCATCTCACGGAAATATTACTGTTTTGAGCCACCTTAACCCCACACACACAGCACATAATAAGTGGCTTATTGACTCCATGGGTATTTTGGCTCGACTACATCTTGCCAAATACAAACCATGGTTTGACCAAATTGCAGGCCAGATATGCTGCTGAAGCATGTGTTACAAATTTGAATTTTATTGTCAGGTAGTATTTTAAGTTGTAAAGTGCTGTTGATCAGTAAATGTAAATAGCACTCTAGAAGTTATTAAATTATTAGATATTATAAGAAGCAACATTTGAATTGCTGATATTATTAGGAAATGGAGCTACTAAGAGAAATTGAGAGGTTAAAAACTGAGAGAAGACAGCTGGAGTTCCATGTGGAGAGAACAGGTACAGAAAACTCAACAAAAGTTTGTCATTACAATGTAATTGAAGGCTTTCATGCAAAAAGGGCGTATAAAGCTTTTTAGGCGGATTTTTATTTTTTGCAGGATCGAGCTAATTTTTAGCCTGCACGCAGGCTCACATTTGAGTCACACGCATGAGCAGTGAAGAGCAAAGCGATCCGGTGGGAAGGAGTCTGGTGAAGAGGCGTCAAGNGTCTTGGCAAACAGTATTGCAAGTTATTTTTGGGCCTTGAAAGAAAATACAAACATGAAACATACACACTGCTAAGATTATGCCTTATCACGTTTTTGTCTGCTCATATTCTGCAAAGTGGGAAAAGCCTACTAGTTGACTACCAAGGGAGAGAACGGCAGCGGTGAGGACCTGTGTGACTTACTGTGTCAGAGCTGTAAATTGCACTCTGCACTATCTGAGATTATTATTATTATGATTGTAAAACTTTTCAAACTCCCACATCAACTTTTTATCATGCAGTGGAATCCAGATGGTGAAAGGACAATTCCTGTTTATGCAATTGTGGTTCACAGTGCTGCAGAAGAGCATGAAGGCCTACCCCCAGGAGGAAAGCCAAACAAAGGAGATGGGAATTTCAATTCAGAGGGATGGGTTGTTACCAGGAGATTCAGAGATTTTGAGACTCTTCATGTCAACTTGAAAGAGGTACATATAGTTACATGTTATGTTATAAACACACCTTTGATTAAAAGTGTTTCGTGTTCAATTATGCTCCTTTTTCTTCAGTAAGCACCAGGGGATTTCATTAACGTTTCATCAGGAGGGCAACAACGACAACAGTTTTATTTCTACTACTGTAAACAACTAAAAGAATTTACAAGATTGTAATAATTATAAATATATAGATAAACAGTACAGTACATACAGTAGTGGGATACCCAAAATAACTAGAAAGCTAAACTATTTGGGTGACCGTAATTATATTAATTAAAAATGTAAGAGTCAGGAAAGAGGCACAACAAATACATTGGTACACATAAGTATCACAAACTTGGTACAAGATTAAGTATACAAAACAAAACAAAATAAATAGATATAAACCATCAAAGCAACTGGCTTTCAAAGGCGGCCAGAGGTGTTTAAACTGCACCTCCTTAGAAGAAAAACTACCCTTTAGATGCTGACAAACCAGGTGGGCAAATTTGTCCACACTGTCGGTCAATTTGCTGGTGCCTGGCCCAGGGAATATTTAATAACATTATTACTCTGCTGTTATTCTACTTCTAATTTTTGCCAGAAATCTCTGTTTGATTGTTATTGCCCCGATCTTTGGAAAATGTGACATTTCTTTTGGGTTGTTTATTTTAGTGTTGTAGCTGGCTCACTCGTGAATTGCCTGTACCTTCCAAGAAATGGTACAAATCCATTGATGATGAGTTCTTAGAACGATCAAGAAAAGCTTTGGAAGAGTACCTACAGGTACATGTAACTTTCTTTTTTCCCTCCTTAATTTTCAGGAAAGTTTGGTAACAACAAATAAGTTTAATTTGTGCTAGAGTTGTCTCTACTTGTGCTAAACATTAAGATATTAAAGATATTATTAATTAAAAGATATTAAACATTAAAGGTGTCAGATAAGTTCACCAGTGCAGACAAAACATGGCACCAGACTAGTCATTCACAAGTCATCCTCAAGTAATTAGTGTAGTTTAGTCTATTGAACTTGTCACCAAAGTACAAGAATTAGATACATGTACATGTAGTCAGCTTGCCTGGTCTAAATGATAATAAAGAGCTAAGATTGAAGTTCACTGAGATAAAGTTGTGCTTTTGTAGAAAATAGAATGCTGGTTCACATAGCACTGTCAATTGCACTACCCATTGTTTGGAAAGCAGAGGTCTGATCTGTAGAGTAGCTAGTTTTCTCACTGTTCAACACTGACATTTACCACCCCAATGCTGGGGGTTTTATTAAATGTTTTGAGCACAAGAGCAACTGGTTTTCACAGGCAGGCAAAACTTTTTGAACTCAACTACTTTTTAAGAGAAACTTTCCTTTACATGGTCAAACCAAGCAGGCAAAACTTTTTGAACTGGACTTTGTTATAAGAAAAACTTTCTTTCAGGTGTTCATACCAGGCAGACAAAGGCATCTTCACAGCCTGTCAATTTACCTGGTGCCCTGCCCGTAATGAAACTGTGGCCCATTGTTACATAAAACTTGCCCATATGAGAATCACTTGCGCTGTAAGCCTACAATTTTTATGTTTCAAGTTAGACACAGTCATGTAACTTTGGGTTTCATTAATCTTTTCGAAGACATTGTTAGCAGATGAAAAGCTGTGCTTGAGTGAAGAACTGTATTCATTTCTCAGCCCAAGCCCTGAGCATCTCAAAAAGCAAAGGTAAACACTAAAATTTGGAGGTACCTATAGCTAAGAGTGCATAATGTCATTGATGTTTTGTTGTTGTTGTTTTTTTTTCTTGGGAAATCTAAATTTGTTTACCAGCACAGTAAAGAACCGTTCAATATATTTTATTTGATTCTAAGGGGGCTAAAACCCAGACCTCTTATCCAAAGATCACTGTTCTAAGTTTACATTACATGTAGGCCACTAAAGCACTCAATAGTAGTTTCCAATAGACTGATTTTGATATATTAAAATTCAGCCCAAAACAGTAGACTTCAGCATGAGGCTCTGGGGAATAACTACATAGTTTGTGGGGTTTATTCCCCGGAGCCTCGTGCTGACGTCCACTGTTTTAGGCTGAATTTTAATATATTGAAATTGGGCTATTTCTTTCGTTTGAATAGTCAGTCTTTAGGATGTCATTCACAGACTTGCAGATAGCACTACAACTACATGACTACCTGTTCAGTTTAATTCCCAGCAAGGGTTTAAGGACTGGAGTCAGTATATTATTATAATATATTGGCAGTAAATTCACTGTAGCTATCCAAGTTAGCATTTATTTAGCTTTATTAATAATGTTACTTACAGGGTTGTCATTAATTTTTTAGTTACCTGTAGCCTTATTCTCCACACCCATAGCAAATTCGTTACTTTGTGGGTGAATTCTCTGAACAAGAGGGAATTTCACCCGTAGCATCAAGGAAAAATCAAGCATACTCAGCCGTAACAAGTGTTACGGCTTATGGCCCTTAATGACAGCCCTGACTTATAATATTATTGTCCCTCTCTGATTACAGTGAACCAACCAAGAAAGGGTTTTCCCTTTTGTCAGTGTTAAAAAGGTATGATCAGTTGCCTAAGGACTCTTTCGAATCGTTATCCTATGTTTGAAACAAATCATGTTTTATTACGTGGTCAGTTAAAGATTTCTTTTTTTGCCTTAGCTTACCTTTTGACATTATTCCTGCTGCTGAAGAAGCTGATGAGGTAAATGAACAGAAAACAGAACACGATAGAATTGATGATTAATTTTTTAAGCATAGCTCAAATGATGTACGTGTTTCTAGTACATGTAGCTCCACTGACAATGGTCATCCTTTGTTCTGAACAAGTACACTTGTCATGTAATTTTACTAGAGGATTCCAAGTTACTAGTAACTGTTACTGTATTCTTTCAGTCTATTGAGGCTTGCACTTAGATTGTTTTTTTTTAAATTACTGGTCAAGACATAAATGCATTTATGGCCAGCAGGTGACATAGGTATTAATATTACAAATATTTGTCCAAGTTTAAGTCAATGGGGTTTCCTTGTGAGCAAGTTAATCTTAGAGACAAGTATGGGCATTTGGCATGCTTTATTCATAACAAATTAAAAGAAAAACACAATCATTAACAAATTAAAGTAAAATTTAAAAGATCTATATGCATGTAAAATTTATAGAATATATTTTTTGCCTTGCTTTCATTTTTAGGAAACTGGTCTTGATCAAGATGACAGGTAAAAAGGGGTACTACAGTGGAGGCCACCCTCAGGGAAATGGGAGGTGGCCGCTTAATAAGGGATCAGGCTGCTTAATAGGAGTTCATCAGGAATTAGCATAGGGCTAATTAGTAGACAGGTCAAATTATTCAAATTCAAACATTCTTTAAGGCAACATGGAATCATGTGATGACATTTAATAAATGTGTGTTTCAGTGTTTTTATCAGGGGTCACTTTTATCTCGGACTCTTATCTGTCATCACCTTTTCCAAAACAAAGCCAATTACAAAGTCAATTGCAAATTTGGAACTCTCACCGACCTTTTATTTTTCAGTTCAATGCGTAAAGATTCCATAGCTGAGCCATTTTATGGACTGATTGGTGAAATTTTTGAGCTAAAGGGAGGTAATTAAACTTTCTTACTAACTGCAAACTGGTTTTAGCTTTAAATAAAAAAAAATATGTAGTCTTCTGAGTAATTTTTTTATCATGACAAACATTAATACATACATTCTTCTTCAATCTTCTTCGAGAACAGTTTTCAAATGGCTGCGGAGAACTTTAATAGCATTTGTACAAGTTACATTTGGAGGTACCATTAACAAGTAAGTCTTTTCATGTACAGCTGTATAATTTGCTTTAAAGTTTCACGAATTTAAGAAATTTTCACTTCGTCAGATACATTTGCATCGGCCTTTAAAAGAAATTCTCCTTCTCCAAGGGGAATATCATCACGGTTATCAATCTCTTCCAGTTTTCAAGTTATTTCACTTGTAATTAACGACTAATTTTCCCATTGAGTGCAATCAAAAATAGGTGAAAACCTCTAAGAAGGATTTAGATCACAATAATGCTCCAAGTTCAATCTTGCTATCAAAGAATGTGCTATGCAAAGATGACTCGGAAGAGTTTCTTTTTCATTACCATGCTAAATTGGATGACTGTTTATGTGTAACAGAGAAATTCACCGCATGGTGGAGTGGCTTGTATCAGAATCAATGGTGATGTACTACATTCACCTGTTCCGCGACTCAATGTGGCCTGGAGGAGAACTAGCTAAACCTGCGACGCCACGTACTGAAACAGTAAGTCTTGTTAGTATCTTCAGTGCACTGTGGATTTCAAGCTCTGGTTACTCCTAAGAGTTGATGTGTTCTTGGCTCAAGGCACCATCCCAGATAATTCTTCTCTCCCATAATTAAAAGTTTACACTGAATTTTGGAAGAAAGTCAAATTGAAAAATTTGGAAAACCAACATCCTACTCAGAGGATTTGAAGAATTCTTCAGTGAGTGCTACAATCAAGTGTGCAGAAGTGTTGCAGCTCTTGTAAGCTTGTAATTCTTTTGTTTGGTCATGGTGTAGCAGCTGTTATTGTTTTAGGGTTAAGGGCATTGTTTCTGTTGTTTGTTCTATTGTCCTCTCAAAGAATATCAAGGCATTCGTGTGAGACCTTACAAGAGCTGCTACCTACCCCAAATGTATGGAAACTGAAAACCAAACTTAACAGTCATAACAGAGATAAAGCCCCCATTTTAAGACTCATGGCAGTGAAAGTGATAAGGAATATTCTGATCCAAATTATGTACTAATTAACCTGAGTTCCATTTGAGATTTATTAGACACTTTAACTACATTGTAGAACAATCAACATAGTGACATCACAGTGGGCAGACTGGCATGTTGTTTTCTTTCAGGAAAAACTTGAAACAAGCAGAAAAGCAAGACAAAAGCTTCTAAAGAACATCCCAGGCAAGCCTGAAACATAACTTTGATACATACTAACAAATTGTCACAGACTCCAGTCCTGCTGCAGTGTTTGACTAAGTTGTTCTTTTTCTTAATGTCTTTCCGACTTCCCAGCCAATCAAGGAACAATCAAACATGCTTTTAAATGACATTGGCATCTTTTTTTTTAATCCCTGATTAGCCATGCAATGAAAACCAGGTGGTCATTAAGATTTCAAAATGATCATTACTACTGGACTAAATAATAGATATAGTAAACTTTATTACATGAACATGTGTTTTGCATGAAAGGTTGTATTAGACTACATATGGAGCTAGTGAGTATTTTTACAATGTTAGAGGAAGACAAAAATGGTGTTATTCACTTATATTATCACAAATTATTATTGATTTGTGAAAATTAAATGTAAAATTTTAACCTACAAGATTAAAAAAAAGTAATGAATATTGCCAAAGGTGACTCAGATTATATCACTAATTTTTCCCACAAAATTCTAACTAGTTCATTTTGAAATGTACTGTCACATACAATGTAGCTGTTAATTTTATAAACATTATTTGTGATCCCAGTGGTTGAATAAGGACCAGGAATATTTTCTGCATTTTTTGTTATAATCTACAGAAGTTCTTCAGAATCTGGTGGGAAAGAAAAACAGCAAACTTGGAACTCTGAAGGTATATTATTTCGTATTAGAAAACAGTCCTAAAAGAATATGTGCACTGATTAGTTAAAAATCGTGTTTCTATAACTCGATGGAAACACAGAACTAGCACGAGCTGTTGACGTAATGATGGTGCAAGCAAAGAGAATTTACATTTTGATGATCAAAGTAAACAAGCTGTTTTTCTTTGTTTCATTGTGGTGTTTTCTAAAAGAAATAGAAAACATGTTCTCCGTGTTTCTATTGTGTTATAGGAACACTCATGAAAGTTTGGGAAACTCGATAAAGCTGTGGAAACACTCACCTTCGGCTTATGTCCCCACAGCATTTCTCGTTCTCCCAAACTTCCACTCGTGTTTCTATAAATCGATAGAAACACAGTACATGTTTTCTATTTCTCAAAAAAAAAAGGTTTAATTGATATATTAACAGATAATCAAATGAGATGTGTAATTTTATGTCAAGACTATCAAATTACAGAAAAGAGTTTTGCAGGGCTGAAGGGTCACACATTACTAAAAGTGACAGAACCTGTAGAGAATAGGTACCTGGGCAGCTCCCTGTGCAAACAGTGGCCCTTCCGGAATAGTTTATAGCATCCCTCCTGAAAACAGTGGTTTGTACACAAATTACAAAGTTGTACGAAAGGAACTCAAAAATGTTTATCTTGAAAACAAATAACACTCAATGGAATTGTGTGAACACTAATTATTGCTGATTGACACAATCAGTACAAAGTACTTTTATTATCTTTTCATATGTTTGCTCACATTGCTTTCTGGACACAGCCATAATACTTTCAGTGTTTCTTCTAGGTGTTTGAGGCTTTTCAGGATATCAGAGTCACCAAACATCTTTTCTATGTGAGTACTACATGAACCGAGTGGTAAATTATTATGTTCAAAATATTTTAACACTCATGACATCCACTTTTTAGTGCAAAAATAAAATTAATGTATTGAAATATTGTAAAATTGGTATATTCCAAAAATATGCAGAAAAATTGTGGTGACCTTTGTGACATACACCTGTAACCAGTAAACATTTAAGTTGTAGGAGACCCATATTAATAGCTACCAAACCACTGAAGTGGCAAATAGGTGGCTGGTCATCTCAGTCCCACAAACTTAACACTGGTCTGAGACAAAGAACTTCACTTGATGAAGATATACAATCATGTATATAGTTGTTTTGATTTTTGTGGTTGAACTGAACGAACCTAAATTCAAGAGAATTTTTGGCAAATATATTCTAACCTCAGCTTTTAATGATTGCAAAGCTCCTGTGTGCAAGCAGAGCTTCATACCTTAGAAAATATGGTAACCCAACGATCTAAAAAATTTAGTTTGTCACATGACTGTCCATCCGTACCTCCGTAAGTACATCTGTCCAAACGCCAATATTTTGAAGAATAAGAGAGTAGCAGTGACCATTTTCATACTGTAGCTATATCTTTGATTTTGGGTATCCATGCTATGGTTAATTGACAGCTGTCAAAACACGCTATCTGCTGACCAGTATCACATAACCATATCACAGGCTCAGGTTTAGAGATCATTGAGGTTGCACATATTTTTTTTTTAAGTTGACTGCTGACCAGGGGACTGGTTTTTGATTGGATCACAAGCTCAAGCCAGGTTATTACTTTCGGGGAGAAGGACGGAGTACATGCAAAAGCAAAGTTTTGGTGCAAATTTACCCCTGGAACGTTTTTTTTACTTTTCTTCCAACATACCGTATTCCTTGCACAAAAAAATAGCGAAACCGTGCACACTGAACAATTACATGCTGACAATTGATAATTTTTTGAGTTTCTGATCCAAGAAAAACAATTCTCTTTTTTCTTTAGGGTCAGTTACTTTTGAGCTTGGCTAAATCTATGTAATATATTTCTCATGAGTTTGGAGGCTGTATGACTGTCAACTGAAACTGCACAAAATATGCAAGCATCAGTCGGAGCATCTAATTTGACTTCTACTGCCAGCCTGCACACTTCTAATCTGTATCTAACCTTTTTGAACAAAGTTCCTCACCACCATGAATTCTTTTTCTTTCTTACAGAATCTTTTTGAGCTTATTCTATTCACCCTTTGCCCAGAAGTCATATCTGAGGATGTCAAACAGAGAGCAAGGATCATGAAAAATAGGCAAGAAGCTTTGCCTGTTAACAAGCCCTCATAAACACTCTCAATTGAGCATAATTAGGCTTTAAGAAATAACTGTTATATGTATTTGTAATATACATAGTACCCTGCACATGCTCTGATTGGTTAAAAACCCATGTTTTGTCAGAGTGTAAAACATAGGAAAAGTGTGTTTTACTGTTTTGCTCGTATAAAATCTATATCATAAAGCAAATGAAGAAGCCTAAGCCATGTATTACACTGTGATAAAACACTCCGGACATTTGAGAACACCTGAGAAATGTAGAAAACACTTGCCTGCAGCTCTTGTTTTCTACATTTCCCTTGTGTTCTCAAATGCCCATTGTGTTTAATTACCTCAGTGTAATACACTGCTTAGGCTTCTTTATTTGTTTAAATATATGGACAATGGTGCTCATGAAGTGATTTTTTTTTTCCTGGAATACAGGTCTTGTTCACATGAAACCAAACTACTTTTCGGTTTAGGCTATTTAACCTGCGACAGTTTGAATTGCCTAGACTCAAAAAGTTGTCAGTTTACACACCAAACATTTTTTTTATTCAATCACAGTCAAGAAAGAGTTGGTGGGGACTTCAATTTATGAAGCTTTACCAGACAGAACATTATCTCTGCATGAACATTATATATCTTGGTCCATTTCTTAAATTATCCATTCTACATATTTGCAAAAACTACCTTGTGAAATGACAGAATTCCCAGTTTGTGAATATAATATGAACAACACAGCATATGCAGTTTCCAACTTTGGATTCGAACTTTGTTTTGTAAATTCAATATTTTGAAAGATGTTCTTGGTGTCTCCATCATGCTTGTTATTTAAAACATCCTCACTAATAAAATAATAACATATAAAATAAGTAAAATAAATCTTGCTCTTCACAGGACTTTTCTGAGGTTAAATGTTTTCAAAAAGGAAACGTTTCAGCAGGCAGTTTTGCTGTTCTTCTTCATGCACCGTCGTTCTTTTTTCTCTGACTTTCTTTTGTTTGTTTTTTTTTTTTTGGTAAAAAAATGCAAATTATAACAAATAGGAAGTCTTCGACTCTCATCATCTTATCAGCATTTTGCACACACCACTTTCACAAGCGTCCCTAAAGAACTCTTTTTGGAAATTCTTAAAGGAGCTCAGTCACGGTATTTTGAGTTATTTTGGCCACATACAAAATTGCCTTTAAATAGTAGGAAACCTGAAAATAACAGTTTTATTAATAAGATAGAAAAACACCAAAGACATAATGATAAACCACAAAGCAACAAGGATGGCTAAGGATGGAGAACATTAACCCGGATTACAAACAACGAATTTGAAAAATCGAGGCTAAACTATTCAGTATGTGCAAACTGTGACTGAGCTCCTTTAAAAACATTTACATTTGATTTGACTGTGTATTTCTGAGGTGATAAAGAAATATTTGGATGCAGCACAATAATCCACGGATGGCACTGAAACAGTAAGTTCCTAGATATAAGAAAACAGCAGCAAATATTCGTGTTAAGCAATTTAAAAAAAACAACAGATTTTTAGGTGTCACATACTCCTACTTCTGTGCAGGGCTGCATACATAAACTGTTGCCAGCAAAGAACATGAAAGACATTGATGTGGCTTTGTATCATTCTGACTTGTACTCCTTCAGTGATGCTTTCTTAAAATTTTATCCCTTTTATTAGGCTAAGCATGATTATTGTGCCTGCAGTAAAACTGAATGCCTTCAGATAATGGCATACCCAAGAAAATTTTATTTGTAATTATTTATTGTAATATAAATGTGTAATTTACAGAAATAAAATAATATAATATGGAGTATATTTTATTAAGTTGTATTAGTTTTTTTTTTAGTGTTTGGTTTTAATGAGAAAATAAAGCAAACTGTGGAAAGAGTTTATGGAGAAAAAGGTTGTGAGTAGTGTAGCATCTGTTTAGCCTGCGAACGCAGACATGTTTCCAGCTGGAAATAAATCTGCATTTGCAGCCTGGAGTCTAGCCTGTGTTTAATTCCCAGCTTAAGACATCAACTCTTGGATTGCAATTTAATTTTCTCTTGCAATGTTAGCTCAGGGAATTGATTGATGCGTAAAGGCAAAAGATAATGTGACTGATCAGATTTATCGTTCAGAAATTCAATGCTATCCAGCCAAATATGAGAACCCAACATTTTGAATGAATTTTCTACTGAGGTGTTTAAAATACAGAGTTGGTAAAGATATGTTATCCTCAACACATCCAGCCTGGTGCACTCTGTTGGTTAGTGGGGACAAGGTGAAGGTAGGAAAGGGTGAAATGGGCTAACCAAGGGAAAACAAGATGGGTATGACCTGTACCAGAGAGTGTGGAACAAGCTACGACTGATCAAGAGCCACTGTAGGCTTGATTTCTGCCACTCTCATTTCCTGAACAGTGACTGGAAATTGAGCCTAGAGCCCCTGTAGGTTGGACAATATTACACTCCAAAACACCATTATGCTACACTTCTATTAACTTCACCAAAATTTGCCTTAATGCATTCGAAAGTTGACATGCGAGCGCACGTTACTGGATAACAAGAAATCTGGACTGGATGAAAGGCAAAATGAAGGAAAAATAGACTGCACAAGGTATTTACAAATGTTAAAACATTTGAAAGAAAGAATCATTTTGCATGTGCCTATCATTGTTTGATTGATGTGCTGAGTTACTGCTTCACAGGTAAAAGCCCCTGACAATTTTAAAAGACTTCCCAAATAAACAACACCACTCTTGTTGAGCAATTTTATTTCAACTGAGTGGTAAAATTTTCACAGGCCATATTCATGGTGTATTTACACATCCTCGTAAAGCCAAGGGTAAGCCACAGGTTTCCAGTCCACAAGCTCTTCATCTTTAAACCAGAGAGCAATTTCCTTCTTTGCTGTTTTCACAGAATCACTCCCATGACAGATGTTCCTAAAGGAATGAAATTATTTCAAAAAATACACGCTGTAAAAAGATTAAATTCCCTCAAGTTGTATCAAGAAGTATTAATTTGGGTGAGGAGTTCATGAACCAGTACAACATAAGTTGCTTGGTTACATCACAGGAAGAGCAAACTAACAGGTGAAGAAATTTTGGCTAAATGATGATTACATCTCTGCCCCAACAAGGTCAAAATGGGCAATTCCAGAAATATCCACACCATACCCTACTTGAGACCAAAGGGGTCAAATCAATACCCTATTTCTGACCAAATCAGCTAAAAAACCATACCCTTTGGGGTCACACATACCTATATTAATATAGCCCACATCTTGAAGTCAAAACAACCTACCTGCCAATGTGAATGGAGAAATCTCCACGAACTGAGCCTGGCTTAGATTTTGCCTACAAGTGAAAGAAAGATATGTCAAGACGTAATCACCTGCGGCCGGCTGTAAGTCTTGATAAGTGGTTCCCAACTTAATTATAGTGTTGCTTTCAGAATAGAACAGAACGTAAAATATCTAACTTTTAAAATGACATACAGCAACACCTACCGGTAATGGACACAAAATGGGCTTAATGTTAACCCTTGAGCAATAGTAGTCTGCCCACTATCAGAGGAGGATACAAGATTTTTCAAGGGAGGGGTGGTTGGTATCTTGGGGTTGCAGAATGAATGAAGTAAATCTCCAAAATGCAGCAATTTGAGAATTGGAACCTAGTAATTGAAAAATCATACTAGAAATATAAGCAATGCCACAAAGTAGAATTTATGAGGTACCTGTCTAGAGAGTTTGCCTTCATTTCTTCCATATTATTCACAATTCTTTTTAATTTTTTTTTTTTTTTTTTCAAATGACACGATTCAAGCAGTTAAGACGTCTGACTCTGTCCTTCTTTCAATTATTTTTTTTCTAAAGAAGTACAGTTCGTGACCGTAACAAAAGAGTCCCGAACGTTTGGATAAGGTCANGACCCGTCGCTAGGTCCCTTTTTAAAAAAAAAAAAATAGGTCAGTATTATGGTCACACTTACTGGGTCTGTTTCTCCCAGGATATCTCTGCAAGTTTTAACAACACCAAGACCTTCCCAGACCTAAAAAAAAAAAAGAAAATAAACAAATACAAATCTCAACAAACTGGGCCTGAATACGAAGATTTAACACGAAAACTGTTGCTAACATTTTCTTGAAGAGAGCACAAATATTAGACGGCCTTGGGAATGTTTCAAATGATTAACTGCTGACAAACATGCAAATTTCTTCCAAGAAAAGTTTATTCCGACTGTGAATATCCCATTGAAGTGCATCTTTGCTGTATTAGAATAAAAGTGTTGAGTGTTGAAAAGATTTAGAAACAATATAAACGAACCGATTGTGATCATTGTAACTCGATTGTACAATGGAGACGATCGAACGCGCTCCTTTATCAACATGTAGGTGTGCATTATTCAACGAGGAAAAATCTCTGCAGAAAGATGCAAATTAAAATATTTCTAACAATGAGACAGAAAAGAAAAGCCAAATTACAATAAAAGCTTCACGAAGAACTTCCATACCATAGGTACAACTGGCCCGGAGGACATGTACTTCACCAGACCTGGGAAAAATTTCTTGTCTTTCAGCTCTTCATAATGCTGTTCAAGGAGCTCTTTACTTGCCTTAAGAGACACAAAACAACTATTAATGTACCATTTGCGAAAACCATATAATGGTTTCAAGGTAACAGAAACAGTACTTCTGAAATTGCACCTGCATGAATTTCATGGCGACCAGTTTGAATCCCTTCTGTTCGAATCTTTTGATGATATCCGCAACAAGACCTCTGTGAACGGCATCTGGTTTGAGCATGAGGAATGTTCGCTCCTTGTTTTTCTTGTCATCCTCAGCCATTCTCGGAACTTATTTTTTGACAACACAGTACACGAGTACGCCACAGACAACTTCGCCGAGTTTCTTGAAGCAGAGAACGTCACGCCACGTGGGCTTGGCCTTTAATTATTGTCCAAATTAGGAAGTCAATTTTGATGGGGAAGGGGAGGGTAGTCGTGCGTTGCTCAGATTTGCGGGACAGAGCGCGAAAGGCCTTGGTGCGACGAAAATCAAATACACCGTTGTTCCCCTGTTAAAATAATACAACTTTTTCAAACAATTTAAATAAACCGCCTACAGGGAAAATCCGGCCAGTATGAAACCAGCATTGAAAAATTTAGCAAGAATCTCAGTCCAAAATGTCCACCAAATAGCCTCCCTTTTTTGAGGCCCCTTAACGGAGTGGGTGGGGGGCGGGGATTTGAGTATCCCACAACTTGTTAAGTGGGCAGTTAACATCCCATATCCCATTTATTCCAGTTGCAATAATTAATTAATTTCCTACTCGATATCCCGTTTTATCTGGTCTTAAAATTTAAAAAAATTAAGATGGCTCTGAACCCTACCTACGGAATTTTTTTAAACTTTATCAAAAGTTGCGTCTTATCATGCTTATCAAAAGTTGAGAATATAAGAAAAAATTCACACGGCCACTTTTTAATTATAAGCCCCAAAAGCTGTAATTAAGGCTGTTTTTAAGGAGGTCATACTGTTACTATGGTAACCTATTGCATCACAAAAATGATAACATGTTCACCAATGATTGGGCAGTTTTTTGATACCATGATTGTAGCATCAAGTGATAAAGAGTGGTTATAACGACCCATCAAAATCTAAGTGTTGGAAACTGTATTGAGCCACCTTAATATCCTGCATATCCCATTAATTTTCCCCAAAATATTACGAACCATCCCACTGATGTTTTGCCCAAACATCCTGTATCCTAAAGACCCCTAAATTATGGGCCCTCTATTGTGTCAAATGCCCAGCCATCTGAGAAGGGCAGGTTGGTGGCTCTGGGAGCCTCTTTGAGATCGACAGTGGTAACTTCCTGGAATCGACACAGTTTTACATTTTGTCACTTTTATGTAGCAATCATACCAGGTTTCCGGTCAGCAATTGCACTAGTGACATGCTAGTATGTATGCTTTAAATGAAACAAGCAACAAAACAAAATGTTTAATGATCTGACAATAGAGCGAGTGGATGGTAAATATTAAAAGGCAGTCAGATGAAAGAACAGTCTTTCCACAGACCCTTTATTCTGTTGAGTTCATCAAGATTGAAGGCACAAGTGTTAACCACAAGGGATTTGAAAAAGCCTGAATGCAAGGCAGTGGCCCTGGGGAGAGAGAAAAAAGTGAGTAATCATTTTTTATGTGTGCCTGCTTTGCAGCTGCTCTCAGGCTAGCTCTGTGCTCATGTGCTTGAAAAAAAAAAAACAACTCAAGGCAAAAAAAAAGTAAACTTCTGCAGACAGATTAATGAATGAGGGGATGAATGATCACTGAAAGATTCATTGAAGGCACAATGGCTTTTTTATTTTGTTCAGTCACAAAAAATTTTTTTTTTTTATTGTGAGCAATGGCATTTATTCCTAACTACACATTATTACAAATATTTAGTCTTCATAAACATATTTATAAGCTGCTGGGTTCCAGTCCACTAGGTCCTCCTTGTTTTTGAACCAAAGTGCAATTTCCTTCTCTGCACTTTCTACTGAGTCACTTCCATGAATAATATTCCTAGAGAAAGAAAGACACATTTCAAATGAGTAAGTCTTTGTCATCACATGATTTGATTTTAAGAAGTGGCCTGGATGCTAATTTGCTATTTGCCCCAAGGGAGGCACCTTTAAGAGAGGGGTGTGTGGTTATTTAGGACGGGGCACTTGATTCTTCGTAAACATATAAACATCTGAATATGATACAATACTTTTATGAAAAAGGACAGATGCTTTAACTGAAAAACTGTTAAGTAACAATTTTTTAATGGGGATCTGATAGTCATAATGTTCAATATTACAACAAATGAGAAATAATTTAATACTATTTATTATAATAATTGAAAATAACCAAATACGATATAAATGTTGATGTATAATTATATTTATTATAGAAATCTGATTTAAAACTTGCCTTCCGATCTGGATGCAGAAGTCTCCACGGATTGTGCCTGGCTGTGATTTTGCCTGATGAAGGTGTTAAAAAACATGCAATATTACACTTGCACTTACATTTTGAAATTACAATATTAGCAAAAAAAGAAAAAAAAAGATACAATCATATATAACAATTAAAGGTGAAAATGGTATATAGTTTGTGCATGCAGGCTAATAGAACCGCGAGGTTACCGAGTTAGCCTTCACGTCGTTTGAGTGAACATGACAAAACATGGGAGTAGAAGGACAGTTTACTAAAGGAAAGAGCTAGAAAAATCTTTAAAATAGTTGAAACAACACCGACATTACAAACATTCAATTATAATTATTTATAGCACTTACATTATTTTATAATGAAACTACTGACAGATTTTTCTTTTATAAATAATTTACCGGTAACAATCATTTGGTAATTATTGCAAGCCATAGGAAAGTAAAAAACATTATTTTACTCACAGGATCTGTTTCTCCAAGCATAACACGCCCTGTTTTTACAACTCCAAGGCCTTCCCACACCTGCATGGAAAAATGTCATAATTTACAATCACAGTACTTAGTTCTAAACAGTTACCCAAAAGGTTTCATAAGCAAACAATTTACCTGTTTCTACTGGAAAACATTAATTTTGGTGGTCAGACAAATCAAACCTTTTCAAATTCAAACACATTTCTTCACAACAGTATCAACAATAACAACTGCTCGTAAAGCATACTGAGACAGAAAGTCAATTCAAACATGCACTATTCTGCCACTACGTACCATGGCAACAACAGGTCCACTGGCCATGTGTTTCACCAGCCCAGGAAAGAATGGAAGATGACTCAGGTCAGCATAATGCTCTCGCAGATGGTCTTCACTTGCCTACAAATAAAAACAAAGAAAGTATCATAACCATTATGAGACTAACCAGATTCAAGGACTTAATGTCTTGTGAAATTCGTCAGTCTAAAGGTCAACAAACTGCTTGAGGGGTCAGTAAATGGCACTCTGTGACAAAGCATAATGCAAAATTTTAGCCAAATTTCAAGTGCATCAATTTTTACCCATCACTGTTCTGAAGTATTGGTTGATTTCTAAGTCTAAGAAAGACATGTCCTTTCTTAAAATATATCGGTCTGGCTGTCTAGCAAGCTCTCAAATTTTACCCTTTCATCATCCTACCAAAGACATCAAAAAGCCTGATATGGGATTACTCTCTCCTACCTGCATAAATTTCATTGCCACTAATTTAAATCCTTTCTGCTCAAATCGCTTGATGATGTCTCCAACCAGTCCTCGTTGGACTCCATCAGGTTTTACCATTATAAAGGTTCTTTCATGCTTGCCTTTAGTTGGTGCCTAAATACACAAAAAACAGCAACTGTAATCAGATCTGGGGTTCTCTTCAGGTCCTGGCACAGCTAGACTACGAGCAGTCTCTCTTGAGCTTGAAAATTTGGGGGTACGCTGCTTGTGGCTCGCAGCTTCCCATGTCACACTCCCATACTCATGTTGTTTTCCATTCCTCCTTGCTTTCTTCCCCATGGATTTTCGAGCAAAAGAGAGACTGCTTGCAGCCTATAGCACAACATGCATGCTATCCATTTTCTGTTTGAAAGCTTTGAGACTGAAGTCACTTGTCAGTTCTTAATAACACAAATTCCGAGATGAGATCTACCAGGGCATATCCTTGACAATTTGGTTATGTCATGCTAGATGAGTAAGGAATTGGATTTTCATGGTTGTCCTGAGGTGGTTAATTAGGACCAGTGTACATTGATGTCAATGCTTTTACAGCTTTGATGTTCTCAGATCAGGGTCGAAAATTAAAATTTCCTACAGGGGCCAACTGCCAACTGGTTTGGTCCCCAACTATTCCAAAATCTCTGGTCAAAACAAGGAAATTTGACCATTTGTTGCTTATCATATTAATAAGCTTATAAAACAGAGACACACACATCAGCTGTATAAGTCCTGAGTGTTGGGTCTCTCAGAGAGGTTATTTCATGTCACAAATACTGGGGGTCATTTAATCCAGGCAAATTAGGTTACCAGTCACCTTGCCACCAACAAGCTCGCCACCAAGCAAAGTCTCCTCGCCACCAAATTACAAACAGTCTAATAACATTACATGTAAACCACACGCCAAAGAGATTTAAATTTGTTCTACTTTGCTTAGTTGTGTAACTCGCACAGCTCATGTAAGGTTGATTAATTGTTTGATTGTTTAGCCGAAGCTTTTTATGAAACACTTAAGCTTACGAAAGCTTACACCCGCTTTCAGTGTTACGTGCATAGCGACTATCTCTCGACATGCCATCTTTCGACGTGCTATGTAACCTGGCCTATGTCAAAATGTAAGCACAACTGACTTCGTTACGGTCAAACTCAACTTCTAGTCATTAAAGATGGATTTATTTGACATCAAACTAGGCTAGGAGTATCAAGAAAACATTCTGTGAGGGATAAATCGACTGTTTTGAATGTTTACATCTTTCCAACATTAACTGAGCGGTAGCAGCCCAATTACACTGGAAGTCACTATTGAGAGCCGATCGACTACACTAAAATTGTTTGAATTATCCCATAAATCCGAATTCCACAATCTTCTTCATTCATTTGAGGTCAGTAATTATCATATACTTATCATTTGTTCCACTAATAACCAGGAAAATTGCCAGTTTTACGGGTAAATGGTCTTTCAGCCGTTTACATAGCATGTCGAAAGATGGAATGTCGAGAGATGGTTGAAAGATGTCGCCTATGCACGTAGCACTGAAAGTGGGTGTAATTAAATGCAAACGCAATGGCGAATTGAAACAACTGAGCAATAACAACACAGTCAGTTCTCAAAGAAATATACATGTAGTTGAATTCTGAAAGCCGTGATTTCTTGTTGGACAATGGAACACAAACCGTATCACGTCACGTCCTATCACGTCAAGCTAGCAAACCTTCAAGTCAATTGACATTGTAATCGCTCGAACAGCTAACACACCTCCACTACTTTATTCTACTTTATCTTTCCCTTGGTGTTTGGTGGCAGGGTGGTTTCTCGGTGGCAAGTTCGTTGGTGGCGAAATTCCCTGGTGGCTAGGTGACCGGATACGAGGGTGTAAGATGCAACATTTGTGTAGCTGACATTGCACCACCCTGAGAAGTATTGGGACATTTGGGAGAATCTCTTGGGAAGATAAGAATTGAGGGGTGGGGGATGGAATTCAAAAGTTCACTTTCCGAGCAGCTGGGGGGCGGGGGGGGGGGGTTGTGGTGGATTTTTGGCATTTGGACTTGGTTGCATCAGAGCAACTACTGAGTGAGCCAATATCTCCAATCAAAGTTCTGATAAGTTTCCAATGACCACCCGAGTGTCCAAATCATCGATTGTGCAGGTTATTGTACAGGTAAAGATTATATTTTTCCCGGTTTATCTGGGATCAAGTGAACTGTCCACAATTTGAGCTTGCTGGGAGAGCTTGCAGTTGTCCGATATAGCTATAGTACCGGTTGGACTGTAATTTTCAAGCTGGACTTGTTAAGTATAACTGATAACACCCCACTGCACTTCACATCTAAGTTAACGCTGGAAACGAAACAAATATTTATCCAAATGCTGTACCTTGGTCGCAGCATGTACATTTCCAATGAGGAAAAAATTATTCTTGTACAATTGAGTTGCCGCAAATAGTCCCGCAGTGGCTGCTGAAGCTCCGATCAGAAGAGGCCCAGCAAAACAAAAAGATGATGCACCATCTTTCGATTGAGAAGTCAGTGCTCTCCTGGTCACTGCTGTTCTGACGGCGCTCAGAGAAGAACGAAGAATTGGACTAACACGGCTCCGAAATGCCATCTTACTCAAGGCAGGGAAGCTCAGGGACCATGTGACCAAAGGACTAGGTTCAGTTGTGGCGGGGGGAGGGTGGTAATTAAGCGGGGTAGGGGTAGGGTCTCGCAACAACGATGTGGTGTTTGGGTCTCTTGTAATAGAAAACTCCCTTCCCGTATTTAAAGCTAAGTAATTTTGCATCATGCTGCAGTAGACTTGATACTACATAGATCTTACCTTGCATTGTTCATTGTTGCCCTCGCAAAACTGTTGCGATTGATCCCCGGATGGCTCCTGTGATTCATCGAAGTGGAAATCATTATTTTCATTATTCTGTTTGAGATCATCGTGATCCTTACCAGGAAGTGAGTTATCGACTATTTGTACTGTAGTTAAAAGTGTAAGAGTGATTAGAGACCTCATTCTTAATAATTATATACCTACAACATCCGTTTCAAGGGAAGAAAATTCGCACATCACTCCGTCCCCCGCCCCGGGAGAGGTGGAGACGTCTTTTTGTCGCGTTTTCGCCTAAAAGCCTGGGAACAACTAGTGAAAATGGGTCCACCATGTGTACCTGTGTCACAGCAAATAAATGACATACTGTTTACAGAGTGCTGCGTATTTGGTTCGCTTGTACACACAACGATTCAAATCCCGAAGTTTAGTAGCCTACAAGCGCAAAGTGTTTTTTTGCCTGTTGTTCATGCCTCCGGAATGGAAAAAAATATTTATGGAAACGCCATCGAGAAATAGTTCACGAAGTATTTTTGCTGCATCTTACCGCACAGGCGAAAATCTGTCTGCGTTCACAGGCTACTTATTATCATGACCGCACAATTGGAAATTCCGTGTGATAGTATGACTTTCTTCCAAAGAATTTTAATTCTTCCTTTATCGGGCTTCAGGAAGTCTTGGAAGGCACGGTACCTGAACCAAAAAACGGAAAAAGGGGGCACTCTCGTTTCGCTGTCATTGACGAACCAAAGAAGCAGAATTTCATAAGAAATGAGAAATGTTCCTGGTACACAACTAAAGCTCAGTTTCAAAATTGGCTTACAGAATATTTTAAATGATATATTCGAGGATTCGCAAATACTACACGTTGTCTGAGAGCATTTCAAAGTTTGTTAGCTCTGGCTAGCCGTACCCCTGGACATGACCAGCTTTGTTATTCTTGCGATTTTTCGCACGGTGATACATAACTAGAGGCCACCACAAACATCAAAAACCGTGAGATAAAACGGGGCCAGACACGCAAGGAGAGAGGTTAATTTTAGCTTCCGCGGGTTTATTTTGGCCTAGTGGTTAATTAGTGACGTTATTCCCAGGACATAATTCAATAATCGCTTTAAATTAATCAGAGAAATAAAATTTTAAATCTGACTGCTGTTGTAAGGAGTCTGCATCGACAAAGCATTTTCTTGGAAAGTATCTTTTTTCGACTCCAAAGATCTTACACTAAATCATTGCCTTTGTAATTTATAATCGTGACAACTACGCCAAACTATTCCAGGAATGAAAGAACACCGGAATATCGTCATAGTTTTGTTTCAGACAGTCTTATATGGTCTGATATCTCTGTCATTTACGGAAGTGGTTTCTTTCAAGCTTTAATATCAGTGTTATCTTGGTAAGTGCACCGACGTTTTGGTGTCAACCACGTATAAAACAGCAAATATTAATCTGTACTGACGCTTCAGCTGGCATATTTCTCGTATGATTTTAAGAATCCCGTGAGCCACAGACTGTCTGGTCGGTTACTAAGACCTTTATCGTCGTGATCATCAAGCGAAAGTGGAATCCTTTTTATGCAGCCGTGTACACTAATTATGGGTCGTTGAGAATACTTTTCATTCCCTTTGTTGAAGTGCTCATTAAAACCAGACCTTCCATATTTTAAGGAGTTAAAGTACCCGGCCGTCAAGTTGAAATATTTTGGGTTTTGATATATATTTTATTGTAAGCGCCATGATATTGGCATTATCAGGATTCCAAGCTGATGATAAACTCATACCAAATTTAGCCTCTATATAAGAACTGCAAAAAACTTCAGCTCCCTTGCTTTTTTCTGAAAATATTTTATAGACTTTATACTGACCCTAGAGTATGACCACTTTATACTGACCCTGGGCCCGCAGTAATTGGTTTCTTAGCTGTTGCGATGTTCCTGCCAAACCTCTACATATTGATTGCAATGTTCTTTTTTTGCTTTTGTTTTTTGTTTTTGTTTCATAAAGGCAAAGCTAATAAAATAAAATGAGTGTCAAAAGACGTATTTGTTATGGCCAAAACACTGAACCCCACTTCATGGACTACCCAAATGGACTACCCTAAAATGGACTTAGCCTAAAAAGACTAAAAATACTCTTCCAAATGAGTACTATTAAAAGTTCTAGGCTTCTAAAACATTTGCACTTGTGCGTTTAGCTTTGCTTAACTACTTTTTATCCTGAATTATATTATGATCATTTTGTGCCGATGTCAACATTTTTATTCTTTAATCCTTTACATAAGCCTTAATGGCTTCCTTGGGCTTCCTTGCTTTCTACATTGATATTTTGTAAATACAGTTACAAATGGCAAAAAAATAATAATAAAAAAAATGGAATAAGCAAACAAACAAATTGGTGTGCTTACATGACATGTACTTTGCACTTATGTTCGTCCAGCAAGGCCTCGCCGCCATTTTGAATAATTACACTTAATGAACAACTGCTGAACCCTAAAAGATCCTAAAAAGACCAAAAACATTAGAGTCTAATCAGATGTAATCATCTTATTTTCAACCGGGCGTATCAATCAGTATCTGGATCATTCTTTATATTCTCAATAGCTAAAAAGATATTGCAATGTAAGAGAGGCAGCCAGTGTAAAACTTACCGCAAGATAAAGTCACACAGTCATGCGTATGCGCATTAGCACGGGTATTAGCACGGGCTAAAAGAGGACAAAATGGGAGATGACGAGAATAACGGCTGACAATTCGACTTGACGAGAGCAACGGCTGAACAGCGTCGACCTTCAAGGAACAATTTACTATGTTATCAGTTAAGATCATTTTTCACATCAATAACTAGGAAGTCAAAATAAAGTTCCGATCCCTCTTTAGCCGTTAATTGTTCCAAAATAGTTTTGCTAACACACATCTTGAAACTGAATGTTAATACAATACGTTGGTCGCTGATACGAAAAATTAAATCGGAATTGCCACATACAGTAGCAAATCCAAGGAGTGCTTACGAGGGATTGGGGGTCAGTGTTTTGTCCATCACCAAACTAAGTTATACAAGAGGGATCTCTCTCAGTGAAAAATAGCTAAATATGAAATGGTTCAACTTATTAATTAACAAATTAATCCTGCAATTTCTAGGCAATGAGGAAAACAAGAAAGTTGTTATACTTTAAAACTAATCGCGACTGATGATATAGCCGATGTGTCGACACCGAACGTAACACACTTTGCACCCATTAATCGGCCAAAATAACGCGTCATAATCCGATACTTTTGCGCAACACCCCCGTTAGAAAATTGGAGGAATTACTGATGGTTTAAATAGCACTCAGTTGGAATATTACGCGAGTTTATGGATAGTCCATTTGGCCAATCTATTGGGGTAGTCCGTGGACTGGGTTTTTTGCGAAACACCCCCGTTAGAAAATTTGAGGAATTAGTGGACCAAGAAATTACGATCCTGATAGGACTCCTTTGGAATATTACGCCAGTTTAAGGGAATTCCATTTGGCCAAACTATAGGGAAAGTCCATGGACTGTGGGGTCAGTGTTTTGTCCATCACCAGACGTAGTTATTAGATACTTGGAGCTTGCACGGGGCGGGATCGTTTTTAGTTCAATGTAGCTAACTTTATTACTGAAAAGTAGCTAATTTTATTAGTGAAATGTGGCTAATTTTAGTTAATTATCTACTCTAAATTATTAAATGGTTCAACTTCTCGGTTTTCATGTCTGCTTTACATGTGAGCTGGTTTCTTACTAGTCATCGGTACGAATTTAAGTATTTCCGACAGAAAAGAAAGCGTTATTTGAAAGACATTTACAAGCAAGTTCTTGTCTTCGAACACACGGTTAATTATAATTATTTAGGTGCTGCAGTTTGCAATACTGAATAAAAAGTCCATCCAAATATGTTAAATCAAGAGATTCTTGGTTAAATTTCATAGTTTTGAAATCATGTTTGGTATCAAAAACAGTTAAATCTTTCCTGCTTTCAATAGAAATTCGGCGACTAAAATTCAAAGCTAAGGTGGTCATGGGTTTGCCAAAATGCATGTTTTTAATTTTCTAAATGATGTTGTATGTATTCTGTAGCAATAATTCCACGATGAAGTTATAGCTATGACAACTGTTTGAAAAAGATGGATAGTTGAAGGTCATAGAAGATAGAAGGTATCTGTAATATGAAGGAGCTGCTGCTGATGTTAGAGAAACTGAACTAGTCTAAGCTTGACGTGCTCCATGATTAAGAATTGTAAAATTAGGTTAATTAACGGCTACACAAGAAAGACTTTGAGATGTACAACCAACCTAGCTGTTTCGAGTACAGTGAAGCCCCATAATCCGGTCACCAACGAGCCGTGCAAATTTGCTCGTGTTAACGGGGTGGCCGTATTAACGCTGCAGGGGCAAACCTCGCGACTAGTCTAAATTGAGTGACGTCTTAACAGACATATCACATTTGCACATCTAAGCTCATCTAAACAACTGTTCTTTAAGCAGTCCGAGTGCAGCGAGTATAATTTTTTTGAAAAATTGAGACTTGAAGCAGTGTGTAAAATATTAACAATGGAAAGATGAATATAGCTGGTTTGAGAGGCCTTTAAACGGGGTAAAAACCCTGAACCTCTTATAGAACTCTTAATAAACTCTTAATTCCCTCATAGGACTTTTCTGTATATCATTTTTAGATAGTTCTAGTTAGGTGTCCCCTATTAGCAGTGGGGATTCTCCACTGCTAGATGTAATTCAGTGGGGGACACGATAATAAAGTCATTATTATTATCATGAAGGATTATACAGGCAAGGATTTCAGAG